TGTTGTAAGCGGTCCTTCCACTCGTTGCTGAGGTGTCTGTCCTGAGCATCCTCACGGATACCACTTCCTTAATCTCTTGCCTAGTACAGTGCTTGCAATTTTCAGGACAAGGTCAACCCTCTCGAGATCGATCACCTTCCCTTTTTATAGATCGCTTAGTGCAGCTGGATCGAAGATGGTCCCTTTCCCCACAACCGTAGCACTTTGGGCTGTAATTTTTATTGTTGTCGTGAACCGTAACTGCTGCGACCTCCTGAACTTGAGGGGAACGATGATCCATCCGCCGCCAGGCGGTGGCGTTAGCTGCATTACCCTCTTGAGATCGATCAACTTCCCTTTCTACAGTTCGCTTAGGGCAGCTGGATCGAAGATGGGCCCTTTCCCCACAGCCATAGCACCTAGGGCTGTATCCGTTATTGCGGTCGCGAACTGTTGCTGTTGCAACCTCCCTGAAACGATGGGAACGATGATCCTGCCGCACGGCTTCCACCTCCAGTACATGGGCTACGGCGTTCTTAAGCGTCACGTGGTTCAGCTCAGAGTCTGCGACGTCTGCGGCGGCACCACCAAATCTTCTTTGGTCCGTCTCCCGCTGGCGTTGTCTTCGGGTACGGACACCCTCCGTTCCCTCCTTAGTTAAAATCGGCATTTTATCCTACTTCTTTGACACCAATTGTTACGAGCTTGAGGTCCGTGACAATTAAAAACTGCCGACTGAATTAACAAAATTTACACTTTTATTTTCTTTACACCAATTAAAACTTAAAAACACTAATAATTAACCACACTGATTCACTTTATTTCGCTCCGAAGCTTCGCTTGTCTCGCCAAATTCAATACTGCCCCGATCGCGTATTACAGCGCCTTTAAATACACATTTTTACCGAAACATCCAGAATATTCAAGTAAATACGCGCGGCAACCGACCAGGCGCCGAAAGTTCAAGTGTCTCAAGTCTCTCTTCTAGAAAGCTTATTTATTCAATTCGATACTAGATGGCGCTGTTGGTTGAAAGATTATTCATGTCATTTTCTGGAAATCTCTCCTCGCTCTGTTACCCGACACTAGATGGCGCTAGTGCCAGACGTCAACTAAGGCGCGCAACACTGCCCCCTCCTAAGACATGCTCGTCCCGAGCATTATCGGCCCCATAATAACGCGCCAGGCGATCCACATGGACGATCTTAGGAGTCCCTATTGTGCCTTTCTGTATCCGGTAGGTTACATCGTTGATCCTGGTCACAATCCATCAAAATTATATCGATACCTCGGGGCTCAAAGGGCGTATAGCACAAAACGCGACTTTTCAGGAGAACGAAAAAAACTAAAAAAAAATAAAAATTTTCGCCGACATATTTTTTATTTGAAGTGCTATCTAAATGTAATCTATGGCAAAAGTTCTTAGAATTAGTTGTATTTTCATGTAATATCTAAAAAAAAATGCCTCTGCCTAGTCGTTACAGAAATAGCTATTCTTTTATGACCAAAAAAAAAGAAATGTTCTTTACACCCCTCAAAAACTAGTTTGTGTGGCAATTTTAGGGCGTAAGTCTAACATCGTTTAAAATACAAATTATAATAAGGGCAAATTATAAATAGGGTATAAGACAATTTATTAGGTATATATATATATATATATATATATATATATATATATATATATATTATATATAAAATATAGCAATTCCCAATGCCGTGTTAGTCTCTACTTTAATACCATACGTAGTGAAAGTTGGGTGCGGCAAAAGAAGCGCGAGAGTAGAATAAATGCTGTAGAAATGCGATCATTAAGGAGTATTTTATGGATGAATCTGAATGACAGAGATAAGAAATTGTTTGATAAGAGAAGAGTGTGGTTTGCAAAATAATGTTGTGACCAGGATTAAGAAAGGAATGCTTCGGTGGTTTGGTCATGTAGAAATAATGAATGAGGAAAGAGTGATAAAGCAAATTTATGTTGCAGAGGTGAACGGCAGAGTCGGGAAGGGACGCCCTAGGCGAAAGTATATCGACCAAATTAGCGATGTATTGAAAATGGGCCAAATCAAGAGTACCTTTAACCGACGATCGTGTATGCGTAGGTATATGGATATGGAAGAAGCAAGAGAGGTGTGTCAGGATCGTGCCAAATGGAAGTCCATAGTCTCTGCCTACCGCTCTGGGTGACAGGCGTGAGTGTCTATGTATGTATGTATATATATTATTCTAAGCCAGCGCTTAACTACAATCCCACCTGATGGTGGGTGGTGATGTAGCCTAAGATGGTGAAGCGCACTGACTTAACAAAAGCCTATTCATTCTTACCTTGAAGACACCCACATTGTAATCGGATGAAAACTCAGATGGTAGCAACTTAATATTACACTCCTTTGCTGTACGCATGATGAAAACTAAGACAAAACTGAGTCCCGTTTATGTGTGAATATTTAAATCTGAGTGTTGTCGTTTGCACACGTAGTAGCCAAAACTAATGTTTGAATGTATGCGTGTCTGTATAGATTGCTGCATTTGAGTATGCAAATTTATTTACTTGGTATAAATTATGTAGTGAGTGATCTTCGTATTATGTAGCTATTACTTTATTGATTTGAAATTGTAACTTTATTTTGTCCAATACTTATAAAATAAAACAGTAATAGAAAATTACTATATTTATTATTCAAAAGTGAAACAATAGATTTTACCAAAAATTTTACTCAAGTATACTCTACATCTATCTTCCTTTTCATCATCTTCTTCTTCATCGTCGGTTTCATTTAAAGTCTCAAGCACGTTAGAGTCGTGCGGAAGTTTATGATATTCTTCGTGAAATCATTTTGGAATGGCTCTGGTATCACAAAGACGTATTAGGTCTCGTTATTTCATACTACTTATTTTGAAGGATGCAAGAGAAATCGGAAAGATTCTTGGGAGGCACAATGCGGATTTAGACCTGGAAGAGGATGCACGGATCAAATGTTTTCTCTCCGCATGATCACGGAAAAGCTTCTGAGTGTTAACCAGAGGATTTTCTGTGCTTTTGTGGATCTGGAGAAAGCATTTGATAAGGTTATAAGGAAGAAAATGTGGGAACTGTTCCCGGGATATGGTGTGGATGGTCGATTGTTAAGGGCTGTGCAGTCACTTTACTATGACTGTAAAGCCTGTGTGCGGGTAGGGCATGACCTGTCACCCATGTTTAGCGTCCAAGCGGGCGTAAAACAGGGTTGTGTCATGTCTTCCTGGCTGTTCATACTGTATCTCGACAGCTGTTTACAGAAGCTGAAAAATAGCTATTTGGGTGTGAAATTGGATGACATTAAAGTAAATTGTCTGCTGTATTTTGATGATGCAGTGCTTATTGCACCATCAGAAGCAGAACTGCGGACATTAGTCACGTGTATGAAAGAGATATGTGAAATTAAAAGTCTAAGTTTGAATGCTAAAAAAACTAAGGTTCTGGTATTTGAAAAGGACGAAGAGAGAACGAAATGTGAAATATGGGTAAATCAGGAATGTCTAGAACAGGTAAATGAAATTGTATACTTGGGGAGTGCTTTCAGCCGGGATGGAAGATGTGATTTAGATGTGGATAGGCGTGTCGCTGCCGGAAACAAAGTCAATAGTACCCTGAATGCATTAGTCAAAAGGCAAGGTGTGGTGAAGAGTGCACGCCTTGCACTACATAACGCAGTGTTGGTACCGACTTTGTTATATGGCAGCGAAACCTGGGTATGCCAGAAGAAGCACAAAAGCAAGTTGAATGCAGTGGAGATGCGATCTCTTCGTAAAATGTGTGGCGTTACCATAGCCGATCGAAAGCGAAACGAAGAGATTCGCAATATGGCAGGATTGAAAGATGACCTTATCACAAAAATTGATAGGGGCGTACTCCAATGGTTTGGGCACGTTGAGCGAATGAGTGAAGACCGAATGGTGAAGAAAATATATAGATCGAAAGTAAATATTAAAAGGTGTCGAGGTAGACCGGGACTAACTTTCGAAGACCATGTGAGCAAATTGCTCGAAGAGGGGAAGGTCAAGAGTACTCGGATATCTAGAAGTGCATGTATGAAGAAGTTAATGAACCTGAAAGAAGCGAAAGAGGTATTTAAGGATCGTGACCCTTGGCGATCTATTCTCTCTGGCAACCCCGTTAGGGATTGTGCGTGAAGATAAGTAAGTAAGTACTTATTTTTAATTTGGAATCGTACAAAACTCCGCCTGCCCTACTTGCTTCCTCATTAATTTTTATTTGCTTGTCTTCTTTTCTTTTTAACTGTCCTTTCCCCTTTCTTTCCTTTCCCTTCCTTGATATGTTTTCACATAATATTACTGTATGAGAGACTGATTCTTGTTTCATCGAGTATTTAGCAAACATTTGGTTTGGATGTTTCTTTTTAAATGTGGCGATTCTTACTTGTTTGCATTTTAGTTTTTTTAACGTTGCTGATGTGAATGTCTTTGCAGCTAAGTCAATTAATTATAAGTTGAGAAAATCTGTGTGATCCAGTGAGTGAACTTTGTATGGTCGTGGTCTTTTGCGGGCGGATTCAAAGTAGGTCGCCCATTGCGAAGGAGCTTAAACTATTAGATTTTTGACCTCTCTTTCTGTCACTGCATGTACTGCATCGAAAGACATATAAGTGTGCCCTGGCAGCAGGTAATTAAGTTGTATGACTTACAAATTGGTGGCCGTCTTGATAAAATTGTTCACAGCAGCCAGCACTATTTTGTTTTTATTTTGGCCGCTACATGAGTCGCAGTACAGTATTAGGTGCCTTTTCTGTCCATCACATTTAGATACTTCAACAGGCAAGTAGCTATTTCATTGCTCCCATGTTTGCCATCACACTCTCCCCATGTGTAACATTAAACGTCCTGTGTACCACTTTCATAAAATGTTAAGTTGCAAACTGCATATTTACGAGAATAATATAGCAGCGTACTTTCCCCATGCGGTGTGTTTAAAACTTTCTGTAAGTCAAAACTAGAAACGATTGTTTCATTATTTAATGTCCTTAGATTTTGTGGATCTTGAATCCCAGTTTTGTAGGATTTTTTTCTTCAATATGTGCATTCATCGACTCTTTATCAATATCATTCATGGTTTCTTTGTTATTTTCAGCGTTGATACATGTTATGCATTCATCTTTTTTTGGGATATGGAAGCTGATATTGTATTCCCTAAAAATACTTCTGAATACAGTCTCACTAACATTTTCTTGGCCGGTTTCATTGCAATCTTTTAAATAAATACGATATAAGATTGTTAAGTTATTCAGTTCTTGTGGGAGATACGTTCTGTTAGTCCTTTTTCTGTTATAGTGCGACGGCACTGCAGGAAGTTTTTCAATGAAGCTCCTCACGTAACTTTTTGCTGCTTCTGTATATTTTAGTGGAGGATTTGGTGTTCTGTCATCTTTTTGGGCCATTCCCTCTGTAGCATGTGATACGGTGTACGACATATATTTTTGAGTAATGTCTAAGGTATCGAGCAAAAACTTCTGACACACTTGTTTGTAGCCTTCTCCATGGTTAATTAAATACTCGTACGTTGCGTTTCTTCGATTTGATGAACTTTCCTTTTTTCTCCTTTTTATGGGAACTAATTGAGACAACGTACTATCCAATCCCGTCGACGCTGCGTGTCTAAACTCCAGAAATGTTGATGCAAAGAAGTACGCCTTTCTTCAGAGATGTTAAAACACCCTCTGGCACACTTGCCAGGAATACATGGTTTAGGTTTCATTTTTTTCCGGTACAAGTTTTCCACTCTTGTTTTCATAATTTTTTCCTGCATCTTTTAAGGTCTTAGTAGTTTTACGTTTATTAATTGACTTCTCTTTTTTTCTTATTTGTTCATTTTTCCCAAATTTCACACTGGCACATTTCTTAACTCTCTTCTTCTTCATCTTATTGGTGACGTATTCTTCACCACTGCTCGAGTCTGATTCCTTACATGACCAATTGTCAGAACTACCCGACGAGAAGTCTAGTTTTTCTTCGTCGGACAAAAATTCTATAAAAGATTTCTTCACTGTTTTGTTCCTCTTTCTTTTTCCTGATTTTGTCCTTTTGTCGATTTCAGCATGATTAAGCGCTCCGTCTAAAATAGTTCTGTGAATTTCAGTGCAGATAATAACATCCATTGTAGTTTCAACCGTATGATCTTCAAATAGACAAATATTTTTGACATCAGAATTTGAGTTTTCTTTGCGGGTTTTAAACTCGATAGCTCTTTTACCATCAGATGGTACTGGTGCTTGTTTGCATGAAGACTGTAGTAGATATCCGTAAGTAAAAGCATCTGAGTTTTCTTTACAGATTCCAAAAACAGAAGCTTTGGCACCAAATGGTTCTGCCGCTGGTAAGTTTGGAAACTGCTGAAGAGATCCGTAAGTAGTAGCATCCCAGTTTTCTTTACAGATTCCAGAAACAGAAGCTTTGGAACCAAATGGTTCTGCTGCTTGTGAGTTTGGAGACTGCTGAAGAGATCCGTAAGTAGTAGCATCCAAGTTTTCTTTACAGATTCCAGAAACAGAAGCTTTGGCACCAAATGGTTCAGCTGCTGGTAAGTTTGGAGACTGATGAAGAGGTTTGTAAGTAGTAACATCCCTATATTCTTTACAGATTTCTTTGGCATCAGATGGTGCAGCTGCTGTACAAGATGTGGCCACGTCAGTGGTAGCGACCGTGTTGTACTTACGGGTTTCAGAAATGGTTGATATTTCAGCATTTCTCGAATCTTTTATAACAACATCTGATAGTATGTGAATCTTTTTGTTTGGTTTACTAATACCGTTATGTTTTTAGTGGACTAGTTTAATACTCATTTCCAAAATAAGTATATGAGCGAGGAAAGGTAATCGTCGAAGTAGCTATGTTATCTTCGCCACTTGAGTTTGATATGATCAAATGACGTATAATCCCCCTTTGACTAATGTTTTCATCTTCGCTGTCTTCTATTACATCGGTGTCGTTACTTCTTCAGCTCTCAACTAGAGAACCTCCTACTTCATCAGGAAAACTGGTAACATTTTCAGTCACTGTGGGATGAAACGGTTTTACTTCAGGAATTGGTACATGCGTGCATGTTCTAAAAATAAAACGAGTACTTTCAATAAATAATATAAATTAGAAATAAATTATATAGAAGCTCAAATTAGTCGATAAAAGGAAAATATTTTTAAAACAACATGCGTTTACTCCACGGAGGTTCTGGGTGCTTCTGAAAGGTCCTGTAGAAATTCAGGGAGTGGTTTTACTCATCAATACATACATATTATTTTATTATGGGACAAACCCTGAAATACCGAAAAAAAATCATCTGTCCTATTCATTTTGTTACAGTAGGTATTGAAGATTAGTATGGAACAACTGATAATTATGTTTCTTGCCAATTCAGAGTTCATCACGTAGTAAAAGTTAGATGCAATGATGAGTGAAAGAATCGCCGTAATTTCTACAGGACCTTTTCTCTGCAGTATAGTGATTAGTCAAGAAAATATTTTTGCCAGAGTTCTCGGGAATATCTCGCCCTGAGAGAGAATTTACTAGGAATCTATACAAGGTATAATACAATGTAAAGGCGAATGAAAAACCTATGAATGTATCGAATACTTATATCAAGATTATATGTAGGTGGTAAAGGCAAAATAAAATATTTATAGTGGGTCGTATAGCACAGTACTCCGAGGACAACACCTACACTATGCAATTATGTGTTACAGAAAGTCGAAAAACTATTCTAATAAGCGCACCAAAACAGAAGTCACTTAAATTTAACCTTTATTGCCAATTGGTACCATAAGTTAGAGAGTCGCACTCTACTTTGCATAAGAAAGTTAGGTAGGTGGTATAGTTCGGTTGTTCGGGACCGGTATTTTGTAGCAAAAATGCTGGAAAATAAACACTTATGCCACTTGGTAAACGTTTAACTTTGTCAGCATAATACCAAAATACAAAAGAGATTTAAAAATATAAAAAGAACAGTACGTAAAACAATAAGTATGACCGAACCCTACAAAACAACTGAACTAATGAGACTAGAGGAAATTCATAGTGGGTCGTATAGCTTAGTACACCGAGGACAGTACAAACAATACGCAATTACCTTAAGATTTTTCGATGATAATTAGCCAATACAGATAGTTGATTTCGACGCTTCATCAACGAATTTAGGCTATTCTCTTAGTTTCAATTTTCCATCGCGATTCATGTAACTTAATTATCTTCTTTAACATTCAATTAATTTCAAAACAACCTAAGACAAAACGCCGTTAACACTTCGCTGTTTTGTTTACAACTAAACGTGTCGTCTGTCAGGAGTAGTGGAGTCGGTAAGCATAGGGGCGCGGGCGGGAATAAATAAACTCGCGATGATGACAATCAAAGAACTTTCCACATAGCTCTGTCCTGTCTAACGCTAGTGTCTAGGTGGGAGTTAAAAGAAATTGTATAAGTGAGAAAGACTAATAATGTTGATTGGGTTGTATTTATTCAATTATCTGTTTACTGTTACTAGTGATAAAGGACAAGTTAGTTTCTAGATAGAAGGCGTATAAGACAAATCTTCATATTTGCTAGGTAGTAAAGCACAATTCTAGTTTCTCTAAAGATGTAGTTAGGTAGTAAAGGACAATATGGTTTTCGTTTGAAATCTAGTAAGGTTGTAAAGAACAATTTTTAAACATTATGTGCTTTAGATCGTTAACCTTTAAGTATACTCAATTTATGCAACCTAAACGATAAGTAATCATGAATAATTTGTGATTAAAAGCCATAATTCACGTTAAATTTGCACGAAAATTTGGGGTAATAAAGAACATTTATTCGAGAATTTCGCTACTTTGAGTATGTAGTTCGATAGATAATGAAAAACTGAATAAAATGGTGTAACTAACTCCATTTGACCAAAATGTGCTATACGTCCTTTGAGCCCCGAGGTGTCGATATAGTCTGTTAATTTACTTACAACCTGAAAATAAAAAAAAAAAACAAAAATCTTGCGCAATTTAGGTACACCTTTTTTCCTGCTTGATCCTATTCGAATCCATGATTTTAAAATAAAACAAACTAAAACGCTTGTTTTGAGTCGGATAATTTGAAAAATTATCATAGCGCTCCAGAGTACTCTGATAACACTCGAATACTTCCCACTAGCCTTTCCCAAAGAGAAAACAGGTAATCGAGATTTGTTGATGTAAAACTTTCCCAGAGATTAAAAACGTTGTTTATATTTTAGGAATGAGAATTGTCAGTCACTTTTATATTTATGAAAATCTGAAAGTAAATACTTTGGTAACTTTAAAACTCGGCTTTTGAAAGTGTACACCTGTTTTTAAGTGATTGTATAACTGCGGTGGCGAAATATACCGAGCAACACACCCTATTGTTCGCCTTTGAAAAATGTCATCCCATTTTAAATTGTCGGACGACACCTACCAGACCGCCCGGGACCTCCTCGCAGGAAGGTACGCCAACGTCCGGCGAATTGCGGACGAATACGTTAGGCAGCTTCTAAACCTCCCGCTACTTAGGAACCGGGCCAGACTACGTCCGAACATCGTAAATCCAGTCGTGATAGCCTGTAATTCGTTGAGGCAGCTGGATTTACCGGTCGACAAATGGTTCTTCTTGTTGCTCCACATCATGCTGTCCCGCCTGCCTCTCGATCTTCGGGTCCATTTTGAGGAGAGGTACGGTGGGGACGGCGCCTCCTATATTCCGCCCTTCGGGGACCTGCTGCGGTTCTTGGAGGAGCAGTGCCGTCAAATTGAGAACGCAGCGGACACCGTCGACGAACTACGGGTTGCCAACCGAGCCGTGCCCAGAGGAGGAAACCACCGGGCAAGTCGTCGCCCACCCCCCTAAGACCGAGCGGAGCTTCCGCGGGAGGGCGCTGCCCGCTACCATCTTATAGTGGCCAGGGAGGCGCCCCCCTGCTCCTATTGTCGAGCATCCGATCACCGGGTGACGTTGTGCCCGAAGTTATTGGGTAAGCCGGTCCCGGCGAGGGGGACCATCGCCAAGGAGCGCCGCTGGTGCTACTCGTGCTTGGAAAGGCACCTCTAACGAGACTACCCGCACCAGCGGCCCTGTCCATACTGCAGGGCAACCACCATACCGTTTCGTGCCTGGGTGCGAACGGCACTTCCTCTCGGCCCTCAATTCCCACGGGCGGGGGCGCTTAGCCACGCTCTCTGTCGGGCGACGCTCGGCGCTCCCCTGCCGGGCACCGTGCCCCTGGGTTTGAAGGGGGTCCGTCCCCCACCAGTCGGGGGGTCGTTCCCCCAGGAGCGGGGGTCGTCGCCCCCTCTCAGCGTGTTGAGAGGAACTTCACGGCCACTCAGCGGTCAGCTAGACCCTTTTAACCACCGTTAGCTGAGGCTGCGACTGCAGTGCCACCCTCCCCCCTTTAGTCGGTACTGGTACTACGGGGTTCCTGCGACCTTGATTCTGTCCCGGGCCTCAAGGCCGAGGTTCCCTGAAGCTCCCCAGGTCAGCCTGTTCGGTGATTTCCAACCCTGGGTCTTTCAGATGCCGCCGGAATGCCTCTTTCGGCTCGAGTGCCGGTCAGATGGAGGCAGCTCCAGCTGGGTAGTTGCCGCCCTAGCTCCCACCACGGCCGTCTTCACTGATACTTTGAGCCCACCACCTCCCATGGCCCCACCGACCCTCAGGTCATACGGCCGATCATCATAGGAGATGCGCGCGGTACTTGCACCTTGCTCTTTCCCGCGCGCACTTTCTTGACTTCCTACAAATATTTATTCTGTTCCTTGTTCCAGTTTAACGTCATTCTCCCCCCTTCTGGGGCTGACGGCACAATAACGCCTACGTCGTAGGGCCTTCCTACCAGCATCCTATCCTGCCTTGTCCTGCGATCGTGCGACCTATGCGCAAACTCACGCAACAACCCGTAGTTCACCCTATCGCTGACGAGATCCGTGTAGTAAATCGGTTCCTGAACCGTTCGAACCAACCCATCAAACGCTTTCGCAATTAGATCGTCATACAGAGGACATTCCCATAGAACATGGTGAACATCCTCTTCTGCCGTACCACACTCACACATACTGGTTTCACATAGTCGCATGTCATGCAGTCTCTTCCGAAAACATTCATGTCCAGTGAGAATCTGGGATGTTTGATAGTCCGGTGAAACCCAGGTATACTTGAGTCTCAACGCCACCTCTGGGAAAAATCGATGTAACTCAGGTCCTTTCGTTTCGTTCATCCATCGATTCTGCCATACGCCAATCACCTCAGTCCAGATTTCGCGCTTTCGTCCGCTCAACTCCTCTCTGGGCGCGGTCAAGCATTCCATACCCATCCTACCAGCACGAATGACCTCCAGGTCAGCAGGGAGAACGTCAGCCAGCACTGGTAAGGCCACCGTGCTAGAGGGCCGGTACGCCTTGGTCAACAAGACAAGGGCAGATCAGTAGTACGCTACGGACTGTGTACATGTTCGCCCGCTCGTACCAGCACTCTGCTGCATACGTGAGCGTGGACACAAACACTCCTCTATAGATAATTTATAAACTCGGGTATCGCATGCCCCATGACGATGTCGATACGCGAGTCATTTTGCCGAATCCCTTAGTCGCTCTTTCAGAGATATCAGAAGCGTGTTGCACAAATGATAGTCCTGAGTCCAAAACCACGCCTAGTACCTTAGCGGTAGTCACAGTCTTGATTGATTCCACACCAAGTTTAATAACGGGGTGGCGCTGAAGTTTTCCTCTAACAGTCATG